CTTGTGCTTGCCAGGCAGGCGCTTTGCCGCTGAGCTAAATCCCCAGCCCCCTCATTAGTACTCTTAAAGCTTCACCTAATCTTTTGATCTTTACATGGAAAATGGAAATGAAAACCAGATTACTTACCACCCAAGAGCCTCTCATCATGAAGTTCATGAGAACAGGACTTCTAGCTACTGCCAAGGCAGACAAAGCTGTTAAACCAATACTTCCTCCTAAGTACATGTAGGTGGAATGTATCCTATCCTTCACATACTGAGGCCAAATTCTGTAACAAACACAGTGTGGTTAGTGTACAGAACTAAGGATGTGAATTCTGGCTGAATCATTTACTAGCTAGTTGACCTTGCAACTAAATCACTTTAATAGTCCTCATCTTATTCAATTAGTTAATTTTGGAAATAAGCCTCAAAATTGAGCTACCATAAAGACTACATAAAACATAAGCACTTGGCTTATACTAAAAGACATATTTTCTCTTTGCTTAAATATATAAATCTTGGTAAAAGAGATGTATGTACGTTTGAATAATTACAAGCCAAAGAAGTACTCATGTATATACACAGATAAAAAGCCTAGAAACAAAATATTTCAAAAGCGACTGAAGATTAAACAGTAAGAAAAACCTGATACTTTTGTTTTAAGGATGGATTTTTAGATTTTTGGGAACAATTTACTTACATAGCCTTTTCAATTGCTCCTATCTCATTAGACATTCCCAAGCCATAGTAGCATAATGCTCCAAGACCAACGGCAGCCCCTCCAGCAATAATACATTTTCCTATCTGTTCAACTGCAGAATACAGGAGGAAATACAAGTTAATAATGTCATATCTCAAAGTGTGGGGTTAGGCTTTAAACATTTATGAGGGGACAAATCGTAGCACTGTTTCTTCCTAACAGGCACACTACATATGGGAACTATAAATATCCTCAAAGTTAATAAATACCCTCAAAGTTAGGAGAACAACAGTAAAGGACACTCCTAAAAACAAAGGTGAAATAATCACAACAAAAAGAGGACCAGACTTGATTAACCTTCAACTTCATCCCAATAGTATTTGAGGGGGCAGCATGTCTACAGATGTGGATATATATCTGTGATACACATTACTTTATTAATAGGAGTTTGAGGTTCTTAGTAAAATACAGGAAATGTCAACCATCATCCACACTGGGTCTAAAGTATTAGAAAAGATGAAGCTTCACATGGGGTCAAGAAAGAATAGGGCTAAAGAAGAGAAATGTCATTAGTGCCTATGCAGTAGTTAAGGAAGATGTTCTTATTTACAGAACCGTCAACTTTATCAACTCACTTGCTCTCCTTTTTTTTGGGTGGGAGTTTTGTGAGGCAGGGTCTCTCTATGTAGTTCAGACTGGCCTCAAACTTACAGCAAGCCTCCAGCCTCAGCCTTCCAAGGGCTGGAATTATAGGCATGTGCCACCCTGCCCAGCGCAACTTTTCCTTGATGGAAATCAATGCTCATGAAGAGCATCTTACACTCCTTTCTAAATTGGTTGACTAAGAACGTTAACTATGCTATTAGTATATAATTTATGATTTGTTTTCTAGGGCTAACCTACCAATCAGAAACAACTGTCTTAAGGGTTCCTGATTAGGGCTCTCTCTGTGATACACTGATGCTGAAGCATACTGACATTTATAAGACTATTAAGAAACAACTGGTATTCTTGATTAGATTTCAGAAGATTAATAATCTAGTTTTAAACCTGTAAAGCTGGAATCCAAACTGAACCGAAGTGACTGACTTGAGATTCAGACAAGTATTACTACACACCTGAATGACGAGTCTCTGTAATTTCAAATCAATTTCCTTAATAGATTATACCTTTCAGATCATGGCATGTTAAAAATCTTTTCCTAAAAAAGGTGAAAGTAAAACCAAACCCACTGCAAAATACCAATCTTTCTGAGGTCATCAGATCCCAGAACAGTAATGCGGCTGTTTTTTTCCCCAGAGAAGGCATCTACATGTAAGTATGTACATTTTAGGAGGCTGGCCATGGAGATTTAAAAAAGCCTATTATGGACTTCAGGTTAAAAGCTAAAGTCTGCCACCTACTTTTTTGTGTTTTATCTATCGATGGTTCCAGCGCTGCCTCTTTGAGTTCTTGGGCAGTTTTCCCACGGCGGATTCCAAGTCTTGACCTGGTAGCATATTCCTGATGTAAGTGCAAACAAAGACATTTCGATAATCACACCAAAACAACTGCATTAATACCAGAACAGCCAGGCATGGTAGCACATGTCTGTAATCCAAGCACTTGGGAGGCTGAGGCAGGAGGATCGTTGCGAGTTTGAGACCAGCCTGGGCTATAAAGTGAGCTCATGGCTGGCCTGAACTGCACAGCAAGACCCTCTCTCAAAGAGACAAAAAAAGAAAAAAAACCACACCAAAACAGAAGGTCTCTTTACACAAGAAAACTGTTAAAAGCAATACAGTGCTTTTTATAATGAAATGTCTGTTCAGAAGTCAGTCACCAGAAGTATTAAATGTAGACCTACTTGCTGTGCATCTTCAAAGTGACACAATAATTCAATATACATTTTTTAGTCTAAGTTTCAGAGTACTTTTAAATTATATTTTACTTTTATACCTAAAATACTTGTACTTTAATTATTTATTTATGTATGTATGTATGTATGTATGTATGTATGTCTTTTTGAGACAGAGTCTTGCTCTGCAGTTCAGGCTGGCCTTGAGCTCACTCTGTAGCCCAAGCTGGTCTTGAATTCACAACGATCCTCCTGCCTCAGCCTTCCAAGTGCTAGGATTACAGGCGTGCGCCACCATGCCCAGCAATTCTTGTACTTTAACACTAACCAAATATAAGGATGAGACTCAAAAAAAAAAAAAAAAAAGATGAGACTCTACTACCATTTTAAAAAATGCATTCAATAAATAACAGCTATGTTCTGTTATCCAGATAAGAAACATATCTCTCCTGATGACAAAGTAAAGGCGAGATAAGGTTTCCTTTTGGGTCCTTTTCAACACTCCAACAGTTAACAGGGAGAAAGTTGTGTTTTTCTTGGTGTTTATTCTCCTTAAGTATCTCACCCTTCAAAACTTCTACTCTTTTGAATGCTAGAGCAGAAATGGGTTACAAAAAGGTAAAGGGCTTCTCTAACCTGACAAATCTTAAGATTCTCCAATGACAGCTGATATAATATCCTTAATAACTCATTAAAAACGTATTGGCAAAATCTCTGGGTTCTTTAAGCATTTGACTATAGGACTCACACATGATTTTCTACTATACCACTTAATTCTCAAATTACTTTCTGAGTGAGAAATCCTAAGAGCCTGTAAACAATGGAAAAGTAACATGGACTCTTTTCATATAGGATAAAGAGGACCAGAATGATATAAAATTGGTGGACAGAAAGGAGCTGACTGGTAACATTACTGACATCAGTGTTACTGTTATTGTTTCAGTAAATTGTTTTAGTCATTAAAGGTACGAAACTTTACACCCTGCTCAAACCAACCGAATACAACTCTTAAATCAGTCCCACAGGCATAAAGATAGACAATACAAAAATAGATTATTTTTACCCTGCTGGGTGTTAGGAGCCATTGATTCTTTGTGATGGAATTCTTTACAACGGGGGAGGAGGCCTTGGTGAACGCGGGGTGAAAAACCCTAGAAGGTAGTGTCCGGAGACACACAAGCCTTGCAGCCAACATGGTGATGCCCTGATTTACCAGGCAGATCTGAAATGCTAGTTAGAAACACAAACAGAAAACAAAAACAGCATTAATTAAGAAAGGATACAGACAGGCAGACAAGAAAAATTTATCTTTTATTTAAAAAAACGGAATAGCCAGGTGTGGTGGCGCTTGTCTGTAATCCCACCACTCAGAAGGCTGAGGCAGGAGGATCTACAAGTTTCAAGATGGCCTGAGTTACAAAGTGAGTTCAAGGCCATCTCGAACTGCATAGTGAAACCCCTCTTCAATGATGATGACTCTGTGATCTCTTCCATTTCAAGAATCCCACCCCACAGAACCAAGTTTGGAGCTACCAAATTAGGTTTAACCAGGCTGACCAACATGTATGAACCCACAAGTTATATGTAACACAGAGCGAATGTTATTTAGTGACTGCAGGGTCTGTGATTGCTTTACAGATTAGTTGTGACACCAGCATTTAATGGGAAGACTTAAAACAGAATCTGTGTAACTTCTGAGCACATGAACAATGTCATCTAATGCTGAGATGAGTAACTCTCTGGGTCACATTATATTACAAGGCTAAAAGACATAAAAAGCCCAACAGATACGATATTCAAATTAAGTAAACCTATAGCCCATATGCCTCTCTACAACTGCATAAAAGACATTCACTCTTTCAAAGTAAACTCAGCTGTCAATCAGGTTTCCCTCAGGCTAACTAGCACTCTTTTGGTGGTGGTTCCAAAAGAAAAGCATGTTCAGCTCTAGCGTGAATTATTCCAGATGAGTGCTCAACCAGAACTGAAGGTGCAAGTCTTCCTATAATAAATGGGCGACTATCACGTAAGAATGAGATAACAAGTGTAAGCAGCTGGGCTACCACTCAATGGTTTGTAGTGAATGCTAGGTAAACGACCACCCTGTGTCTCATTTTTTCCACTTTTTTTTTTGGTGGGGGGCGTCTTTTTGAGCCAGAGTCTCCCTATGCAGTTCAGGCTGGCCTTGAGCTCACTTAACAGCCCAGGCTGGTCTCAAAGTCGCAATGATCCTCCTGCCTCAGCCTCCCAAGTGCTGAGATTACAGGCATGCGCCACCAGGCCCGGCATTTTTTCCATCTGTAACACAAAAATGACAAAAAACAGTGTTCAGATTGACTACAGGGCTAACTCTCGGACTACATCTTTTGACACTGTCCAAGACGTATCAAAATCGGTCGCGGAATATGCATTATAACCCCAAAGTTAAGAAATATTCAACTCTGCTGCTGCTTCTGCGAAGGGTGTGCAACACTGGAGATATACACACACACATACATATATATATCCTTTGAGAAAACATCGAATCTTTCTGGCACTTTCATGCCATTACGTCACCTCGACAAGCATCTTCCTGGCACTGAAACCAAAGCGGGGCAGGGGTCACGCTCAGCTCGGCCTCCCAGGCGCGTGACGGCCGCAGCGGGAGTCGCTTCCGCACCCGCACGTTAGAAGGGACTCCGCGCAAGGGCTGACCTCCGAAACCGGCTCCTTGGCTAACTTTGTATGCAGCACCGCCGACCCTTACATGAGTGAGGCTCGAGGCGGCCGCCGCGTCTTCCCCAGCCCACGAGCCTCAGACCAGCCCCGCGGCGGAGCCTACCTCCCGAAGAACCTCACAGCTCCACAGCCCGCGCGCGCCCCTGTACCCGCAGGGGGCGGCCGTGCGGCCCGGCCGCGGGGACGCCTCAGCACCTCGCCGCCCGGGAGAAGGCGGCCAGCGAGGGCGCGCCCCCGACGCCTGCCCGGGCCCCAAGGCTGCCGCCCTT